GACTCCTTAAATAGGTAATATAGAAAAGTTACACATATAGCCAGTTGTACACTTATCTAATAGTTCATTATAAATACATCTATATAAAACATGTACTCACTATAAGTATTAATAAAAAGCTCAGACCAAAGAGGTCACCTTAATACTAAAAAAAAAAAAAATGCTATTGCTTCTACCACTAGAGCTTCAATACATAGCCCCACTGTCAAAATGTATGAACTATACAAATACTATTACTACTACTAATTAGCAATGCATAATAATACTTAAAACATTTCAGTGCATAGCCATCAAAATGCCTAATGCAAAATTTCTTCATACAGACATTGATGATCTAGCACAACATCATCTATACTTTACAACACAAATATTATCACAGTACCAACATAAAACACCAACTCCACATTCTACTATTGCTTTAACTAACAAAAATAATCCTTAATCATCAACTATTTTAATATCTACAAATAACTTAATACACTAATTATTTTTACCAAATACATCCAATGCACATTTATCTCATCTTTCAACAATTAACTCTCAAGCTAAAAAGCTTCAAATATACCTCCATGCAACTATAATCCAACCAAATACCCCAAGCTCACAGGCTCAATTTTTCTGGATTCTTGCACCTACTAATATTATATTCTCTTTTCAAATTACACACTGGCTCTCTATTACATGAGCATATCTTATTGGTATTATAACAATACTAACTATTGTTTCACAACATTGCCAAATAACAGTCTTTATGACACATAAACCAACAACTAGCTATATTAACTCACTTCTTATGCCAACATCAAACACAACATTTACCTTACAAAAACATAACTACTGGCTACTCAAACTCTTAACACAAACAATCATTATTCGCAAACACCTCAAAATTAAATGTATTAATATAGAGAACCCAGATAATCACCCTCTTTACAATAGAACAGTTTATCTTTCTACTACAGCACAACAATATAAACTTTATACTCAACCTCATACCTTGGACAATAACAACTTTTATCTTATTTGAAATGGGACACCAATAGAAAATAAAACCCACTGCTTCATTTGCTATCTACAAAATGCAACTAATATTGTAAAATAACATGCCTTAAATAGAACTAGCTATTGGAATATTATTCATCAAAATACCAACTGAGATCTAACATACCAATCCATTAATTACAACAACAAACCTAATACTCATGCTACCCATTCTAAGCACTCACAATTAAAAAGCTTTAAAATTAAGTTTTTACTAAATGAGTTACCTACACTGTTAAATCTACACTACAGAAAACCTAAAACTTATACCAATCCAACCTGTAATTGCTGCACATTACATATAGAGGATAACCTATATTGGCTTGAATGTTAGGCAAACTCCATAACCCTCAATTAACTACTTCAACAAACTATACACAAGTTCTGTACAAAACACAAAATAGGAAACAGCAATATACTGTATGTTTCCGAAAATAAGCTATCTTTTTTTGGCAAATTTTAGACACAAAAAATGAAAGGTAGCTTATTTTCAATATTTACTATTTTTAGAGTAATTTAGGTTCAACAAAGGAGGTAGCTTATTTTTGATACTTTCGATACTAAAAACTCTAATCAGATAATGTAACATCTACTTTAGATTATCTTGTAAAAATTTATCTGCAAGTTAACCGATAATGCATGTAAGTTGTTTATATATATATATATTACTATATATGCACTAATGCTAACATTAAAAAATCATGTTATACGTACATATATGTATAAGTATGCTATACAGATAATCGCTTAACTATCAAAGAACTGGCTTTTTTTTTTCAAACTTTAAAAAAAAAAACTATTGATATATATTGTTAAATACTGGTAGCCTGGGAAAAAAAAAAAAAAAAATAAAAATCATGATACTTGGGCTTTTTCACATGTTATTTAAAGCAACAATCGCTTTTTTTTTTTTTATTATATAAAAAAAAAAAAATAGAAAATACTAGCAGCTTGGGAAAATATAAAAAAAAAGAAATAAAAATCATGATACCTAGGCTTTTTACACACTATACACATGCATGTACACAAACAATAATAATCATTTTAAAAACTTTTTTTTTTTTTTAAACCTCGTCATATGACGCAAAGTCTTTTACTTCAATTTTTTTTTTTTTGATTCAATTTTTTTTTTTCACTACATATTCAAATTAAGTGATCGTGAGGCAACAGTCAGAAAATAGCCTGGGGAGTCGCCTGGGGAGTCGCCTGGAGAGTCACCTGGGGAAATAATAAAAAGAAATAGAAATCGTGATAAAAATCTGGGCTTTTTTTATACATCACCTTTGTTCTGAAATAAGGAAAGTACAAGCAAAGGTACTTTATATAAATACTACTGATTTTCTTGGAAACGGAAAACCTTTTTTAAAAGCATCACAAACTTTTTACAACTCAAGTCATGAAAGACAAAGAAATTTATATTCAATAGAAGAAAAGTGTCAGGCCATGGAGTTGGCTCGTCGTACTTCAAATACATATGCTGCCAACCATTATTCTTTAGATTTAATGATGCTTGGCCAGTGGGTCAAACTATTTTCACAAGGCACCACTTCCAAAAAAAACTCACGAAGGGTTGGTTCTGGGCGTCACGCATTTTTTCCTGAAGAAGAAGCTCAACTTTATGAATAGGTGAAGGAAGTTTGACAAAACGGTCTTGCTGTCACATATTCTAATCTGAGGATAAAAATGGCTGAAATAATGAGTAAAAGTTCTAAACAAACAAAAGATGAAACCAAAAAGTTTACAATTAGCAACTTTAAGTTCTCACCACGATGGCTTCACTGTTTTTTAAAGCGCCATGATCTTTCTCTTCGGCATAAGACTAAAATCGCACAGAAGTTACTGAGAGACCTTGAAGACCAGCTTCTTAGTTTTCAGCAGTTTGTAATCCATCTTCGTCAAAAAAATGAATATCCTCTTAGTTTGATAGCCAATATGGATAAAACTCCCATTTGGTTCGACATGGCAGGGAATTTGACAGTGGATCAAACAGGTGCAAAAACGGTACATATCTGAACAACCAGCAATGATAAAAATCAATTCACCATTGTCTTGACATGTCTTGCCGATGGTACTAAGCTCTCTCCAGTTATTATCTTTAAAGAAAAGGTTTGGCCAATTAATACACCTTCACCTCCGGCTGGGGTGGCTGTTTGGTTCCAGGACAAAGTGTGGATGGACGAACCAGGAATGGAAAAGTGGATAAAGTATTAGAACCATGAATGACCAAGACATTGTAATTCGAAGGCAATGCTTGTATTGGATTCTTTCTCTAAACATATTACAGATTGGGTTAAGGCTGAGTTTCATTCAGGAAATACTGATTTGGCTGTAATTTCTGGGGGTCTTACTAGTATGTGTCAGCCTCTTGATGTTTGCATTAACAAACCTTTCAAGGACAAACTTTGAAATTATTAGCATGAATGGATGGTAAATAGTGGTAATGGCTTTACTAAGGGTGGAAACTTGAGATGCGCTGATTTAAATACAGTTTGTCATTGGGTTTTGAATGCCTGAAATGACATTTCTGATGATATTATTGTCCAAGCATTTAAAAAATGCGGTATCTCCAATTGCTTGTCAGGAAGTGAGGATCATTTAATCTACGATGATTGTAAGAATGATAAAGATGATGAATCTGATGAAGATGCTGCAGGATCTGATGAAGATGAAGAATATGATGAACAGCCTGATGAAGGTGAGGAGCCCGATGAAGGTAAGGAGTCTGATGAAGATGAGAATATATATGAATATAATAAGTGGCCAGAATGTTATGTCATTATTGGATAAGTCATGCTTGAAAGAATTGCATACCATATAGTATAAAGTAAGGATTCGAATAATAATAATTATTATTATTATTATTATTATTATTATTATTTATTTATTTATTATGAAAGTAGGTTTAACACCACTGCTTATCGATCTTAGGATAATTATCAGGTCAATTATTTGACAGTCAGTTTCTAT